GTGAGCTTCGTATCTCGACGGATTTCTGTCTTCTCGCCTCTCATACATATTGTGATTACTTCTCAAAGAGGATGAGAAAACGCGAGAGAAGATGAAGTGCATGTATATATGTACCGAAAAAACTGTAACGAAACTGCACGTATTTCCTGCAAATACGACTATGAAGTAGCGAAAGAAAATATTTCACAATTCAAAAGATAAAGCAATGTGTGTCGGAGTGAGTGCGGCTTTTACGGCCGTGTTCATCATTTATATTTAAAATTCGAGCTTCTCGAGAGCTTTATGTATTTATACAATTATATGTATATGTATATAATATTCTATTTTATTACATACATCTACACACGTGTGTTGATATGTATAATGTATTATTTTTTTCCTTTTTTTCCTGTTTCTATAATAAAATTCCTTGTGTATCACTTTTCAATCAAGCAAAACGAAAGTTTTAAGAATGAATAGTCGCTAGACGGAACAAGATTAAAGTAGACTCTAAAACGCGCGGACTCGCGCGCGGTGATCGATCGGTGACGATAACGAATCGTTTCGTACGTACAGCCAACAACGATCTTATCGACCAAGTTTCCATTTCCGTTTGCTTTCCCGTTCTCTCGCCGTGTTGGTAGTTTCGCCAAGCTCTCTCTCTCTCCCCCCCAGCTCGCGCGCGCGTTTTCCATTCCGTTCCCCTTTTTCTTTCTCTTTCTTTCTCTCCATTTTCACGTGGCCGCGCGCGGTTCTTCTCTCTTACTTCCCGCTCGATATCCGGCCCGATGCTAAATAGTAGAAACATAATTCTGCGAGTGCGAAGAAATTGCTTTATCGCGCGGAATAATGGTCCGTATTCACGTGTAGCTCTCTTGTAAGTCTCTCTCTCTCACCCGGCCCTCGCACTTTTTGGAGATTGCACGTGGCCAGACCGGACCCGTCGTTCGGAAACCCACCCACGCATTTCTCTTTGCATCGCTCGATCCGAGTACAGGACTACTGTAGTAATGTATCGAAGTAAGGAGGGTTCGCGTTGAATAATCACGAATATATATCGGACGTGACAGCCGCATGCCACGTACAATATCGGCGTTCTAAACAACCATGGGAAATCAATACGTTGATGTGGCTACACGGCATTTGTTCGTCTACATCCTTTTGCAATCGTGAATTCGATCGAAGAAAATATACATTAAAGTTATTTCCGCGAATTCTCGAAGTTTTTTATCAGAAAAATTCTAAGTTTTTACTTGTTAGACTGTGGTATGTTACTTCTAAAGTCGAAAACTAAACGTTGAACTTTATTTTTAACTGCAGACACAAAGTTTTTTTTTTAGACAAATTAACAATTCAGCAGTATGTATTAACTAATATCTCATGTACGACATCAGCGTACCTATATATTCAGCGCCAAAAAATACGTACGTGCAGACAATTTCTTTCGCGTTCGCGACCCGCGCGGCAAGAAAAATTGTTAAGAGCAATTTTTCTGACTTTAAGTGACGTTGATGTACGAGCGTAACTGAGAGAACACCTGCAGGAATGTCGGATTCCTTTATTCCCCGCGAAAAGCACAGAAACCAACGTCTTAACTGAACAGCGCGCGATTCCGCAATTAAGAAGATCCTATACGTGTATCGTTAAGCTGTGCTCAATTTTGATACAAGGTCATGCAAAAGTTAACACAGATGTAACGAATCTTCGATGTAAGTTTTGAAACAGGAAAAAAAAACAAATTCAAGTACAAAACTCTAAATCTCGGTGATTTTATCAAAGTTTAAGTTGCGGAAATATTGATGTATATATACATATGTGTGTGTGTGTGTGTGTAACTGCAACGAGATATAAGTTATTAGATTTTTTAGCGGTCATTTCAGGGCGATAGAATCTGACAATAATCTCTTCTTTAATTGCGCACTAATTAGCTCAGCATCAATCTCGCAGAAGTGCCTGTTTCATACATCGGCGTAGACCGTGGTCTATAATTCGATCTGTGCAATTCGAACTCCGCGGCGGCTAATTAGAAGCATTGTTAGAGAGCGGAATATATGGACAAACCGAAAGAGACAAGTTCCGCCATCGGGAGAAAAGTTATTTTACGTTTAAGCCCGATCGATAATTACAACCGGCAAAATAAAATTAAAATTTTAATCAAACGCTACTTAGATGAATGCAATAATCATGCGATACCTTGATATAATTGTAAAACAAACACAAGAAACTAAGAAATTGATGTAATACACAGATATAAATAATATAAAATAATAAAAACATTTCGGTTTTTTGAAACCATCTTTTGTACTGAAAATAGATCGACTAAATAATAAATGTGTTTTATATCCAAAAACACATACGTGAACAATACGTACAAGATTAAATTTACAATCACGTTGCTTTCGTGACGATAGTTCTGTTGTTAAGTGCGAATCACGAGAATCCACGTGGACGTCGGATTTTTTATTCGCAGAGAGGGATGAAAGAGCGCGTTGGTGACGCGGGGGATGACGAGTGCTTGTCGACGATCGACTCCGAGAAAAAAAAAAAAGAGCGCGAGGCGAGGGTGTTGGCAAATACGTAGGACGCATTCAGATCAGTCCCGGCAAGCCGAGGGGGATCCACTCAACAGGAACGATGACGGAGAACGGACCGTGTGGAAAAGGTTTTTCAAGGCTCGTCAGCAAGAGACATCAGAGGCCGCGCCATTTCCTCGGGTCGAATACAAATACGATACGAATGTATCGCGCGTCGTTGCTTTGTACTTCGCAAGATCAATGCGTGAGAAGAGAAAACTTAGTTTCGAAAGAAACGAACTTTCTTCACGGGTTCTCTTACGTTCCGCTCGTGAATAATTAATAAACCCCCGAACTTTTACCTCTCTTTCCTATTGCGTTCCTATTCTTTTGGCGCGTACAGTTTATTTCCTTGTATAATGATAATGATGATAATCATGACAATGATCATTGATATGTGTACTTCGCGCACACATGCGTGTCGAAATAAAGTTTATATTGAAACATAAACAAAAAGAACTTTTTTCTAAAGAGAAACCTTTCTCGTGGTTACTGGCCGAAGAACTTTTGCGCTTTACTACTTGATGACACATATGGGTTTTAAAATATGGAAAGAGTCAAATATGTTATAAATGCAAAGATTTCTCGGAGCGAGTTCTATCAGAAAGTGGGGAAGTCAGAATAAATATTGATACATGTCAAAGGGAACGTCGTGTGTAAATGACATTCCGACAGAGAATCGCGAAGATGCAACACGGCGTAATACGCGAGACGGAAAATAGCGGCAATACTCTAGAGTGCCTCGGACGGGTAGCCTGAGGGACTTGGGGACCACGGTATAAGGATTTGCTTTCGGAAAGGGGGAGAGAGAGACCCGTGCGAATGCTACATGCGGGAATACATATTCAGGGAAACACGATCTATTTTCTGGATACGTATATATTTTCGAGAATCGATGCATAATCGAGGCCTTTTAAATATTTTAAACGCATCGCATTTATTATTAAGCACATTTACAAGAATAAAAACATAATTCTCTCTCTTATCTTTTTGTTTTATAAGTGTATATAAATTTTCTTTTCTTTTTTTTGGCTACCCACATATCTGTCCAATACGTAGTTTCTTGATCTTGTAAATTTATATATAAAAACAGATAATGTAAGATCAATTAAATATGTGTGAAATAATGCAAAGACTAATGTAAATAAAATATAAAAGAAAATGAAAAAAAATTCAAACATTTTTTACATTGAAACATCTGAATTTTGCATAGAGAGGAACATCGATTCCCGACTTATATGGAACAACGCAGTCCATTACTGTCACAAAACAGAAGTCGCGCTCCATAATAAGACCGAAGCGATCATAGTCGCTTATCGAACTTGAAATATCATCAAGCCAAGAGTGCTGGGATCGTCTCGATATACTGCTGGTCTTCGAGGTCCCATGGTCCATCCCTTTTTAGATCAATAATACCATTCCCGTGGAAGCGCATGCGCTCCCCTTCCTCTCTGGCATTTCTCAACAACCCCTATACGCGGACTGGTTTCCACCCTCGTTGAGCCGCGTTCAGGACGTCACGTACCCTTCCATGCAACATTCATAGCGCCATCAATATTATACGCGCAAAATAATAACGTGTGCATTTATTATGAAAAATAATCGCTTCTTGCGAAATCCGATATAAGAGGTAAAAATGCGCAATATGATCCGAATAATTAAGTATGTAAATTTGCAAATCGATCGATGAAGAATCGCGAACAAAAATAGATCGGTGATAAACGTGCGATTTGTTTAGCGATCATTGAAAAAAACTTAACCAACTAAATATAAATGTATATACAACACATATAGATGTAAAATAAAATAAACTAAAACTGTAAATATATAAAATAAACAAAAATTATGCAATTAAATAATAATCTGTTAATTTTAAGGATACGTATCTTAAGCATTTTTATTTTCAAATTTGTTTTTTACTTTATCGATTTATCACACAAAACTCACGATGTTATTGTTATAAAAAAAAAAATTTAAGTTGACTTTCGCGCGTTTTTCTATCTACATATGCATTTATAAACGAACTATATTGTGCAAAAACTATAAATACGTGACTTAATAAAGTGATTTACAAGCTTGTCTCTTATCTTGCCATGATAATGTCACCTCGCTTATCACGCACATTAGTCACAGTATGTTGAAACTGCGTATTCATACTTTATATTTTAATTTTTTTAAAGAAATCTAGGTGTGTGAGATAAGATAAAATGTATCAAGTACAAAAAATATAACATTACGTGCAAATTAACACGCTAATAAGAAAAAATTTGTACTTCATGTATTACTAGATTTTTCGTATTGGCAATGAATATCGGAACGCAGCCTATATGCTTCTTTGAGTATTAGATTTTTTTTTGTCAGACTGCGTACCTTTATCGTTCATTAGATATAAAACAAAGATAGAATGATGCAATAGCGCTGATAGCGCGCTCCTCCAAACGTAACCCCAGTTTAAAACTGTCAGTGTGTCGGAGTTGTTTATAAGCTGATCTCGAGGACGAGTTTGGTATTGTCAAAATCGTCAAGGTCGTTTTTCTCATCATGTCTAAGCGAGTAACAAAATCTCTTTTAAGTAAAGAGTATAGGGATTATTTAATGAGGTAACTGGATTTTCGATTCTTCATATGTGTAAAAACAAACAGATTTAATGTGTATAAAAACTGTAAAATAACTAAATAGTCGCATTTTTATAAAAATGAATTTTCTTAGTCACGTCTTAACATAAAAAAGCGTGTTTCCTAAAAAGTTGCGTTACTAATTAATTATTTCTGAATTATTTTATAGAATTTTTTATAGAATTCTAAATTATTTTATAGAATAAAAAAATATGTGCAATATTTTATTTCAATGGCCACGGATTGCGTTTATTTCTAAATCCCTAAGATTGATATACTTCGACATTTGTACGCTCATGTCATAACGACATGACACAACTTATCGAAAAATAAACCACTTTTTAAGCACGCACTTCTGGGGTCCGGTATTCAACTGGATGATACCCATAGCGACCATATTCGACACGCGAAAGCATCCGAGAATCATTAGCGGCAAAATGACTATGGGTGAGTTCAACATAGCTCCGCATCGGTAAACCTTTCGAAGAAGTCATTCTCTGTCTCATAATAATCACGTGTCGCGACAGAGCGAGGTGATTTCGCGGCAGACGATGAAGAGAAAAGTAAAGGGGGTTCTTGAGAGACAAGGATCCGCATTGAAATAATTGCTGCTCGGGCGCAGCTGTCTGTTTTTTAATGAGCGGCACATAGCAAATGTGTGTATGGAATGCGTATCCAAATAAATAAATAAATAAATTATGATATATAATTATTTGAGAAAATTCTGAAAACCATTGTAACTTTTCCTATTTTGCAACAGACAAATGAATTAATAATAAATTACGTTTAATTTGTGCCAAATGTCTTTCGATTGAATTCAATTTCCTTTCCGAATTATTTTCTAGCCTTGACCCTGTATTCCCTGGTATTCATGCGATTCGCTTGGAAGGTACAACCACGAAATTTGCTACTGTTCATGTGCCACATGACTAACGTCGGAGCTCAACTCACGCAAGGTTACAGGTTTGTTCAGTATCATTATGGCGAGAAGAAAGAACTCGATTCGAAGCAGAAGTGACGCAAAAAGCCATGCAAAAGAAACTACGTTACTACTGATTTACGCCTGTATAAATGTAGAATAAAAATTGCAAAAAAAAACAAAACAAAATGTTATCAGAATCTATTTTCCAATGCAACAGACTATTTTTAAGTCAAATAATCGTAAAATAACATCAAATAATGTACGAATAAGAAAGACTGTTCATGTAATTATTAACAAACGAGAAATTCTTGTTAAATTTTCTCTTTATACATGTTATTACATATACACATATGTATATATATATATATATAAATACATACATATACATATAAATATATATATATATATATATATACACACAATGTGTGTATGTGTTTCATTATTATCAGAATATCTTATCAATCAGTAACGCTCTGATACTCTCAACAAACTACATCGTTGCTCAACAGTTTTATTGCAACAATTTGAGATGCAAACAATAGCGGCGTGGCATTAGATTTAACCACGGCAATTATTAAAATGCCCGCCTAGGCGTGTAATATATTATAATAATTGCTAATGTATTGGAAAGCCGGGCTCGTAGCCTCTGGCGTAATGTACCTTGGCGCATGTTAATAGTCTTGCGCGTACACACATACGTATCCGAGCAATTCCGCTTATTAAGTTATTCCGTTACTATTCTTCTTGTAATTGTTGGCTAACGCGATACTTAACAATTCAACGATTGCGTGCCACAATAAAACCCCGATTCGCACGTTCCACGATGTTTATAAGTAAAATCTTGTTCTTTGTAAAATTATGTATCTTTTCTTGATCGTAACTGAAAATGATAATATTCTCGTGTATGCTGTTTTTCTGATACGAGGCGCTTGATATTTATGGCGGTCATAAACGCGATACTTCTTGTCCTTTACAAGAGTTATAAGGCATACACATAAATATTTACATTTTTCGCGTTTCATATTTGTGAATTCTTCATATAAATTCGATTAATAAAACTCTCAGGATATAAATTTTACTTTCCCTTTTCTTTTGTTCTCAAATATATAGTTTTTTTTTTTTATTTTGCATCAATTTTTCCTCCATCCGAAACTCGTTTCCGTCCAGCTTGTTTCTCGTTTCGCTGACTTTTCCAAAAACACGTACAAAACATCACTTTTCGCACTTTCTCTCTCTCTCTCTCTCTCTCTCTCTCTCTCTCTCTCGTCATCCACTTCCTCGCCTATTGCTACTTTCTCGGCCATATTCAAAGAGCACAAGTTTATCCGACTCCGGTCCCGGTTTTGCCATACGAACGAATGTATAAGGAGAGCAATAATTTTCTGGGGTGGCCTCTCGCGCGCGATGGGGCAGGGGTGCGCCATGGCGGGTACTCGATCGTGCTAGGGTCATTTTATGGGATCTGGCACGGATCAGACACGCGAATCTATCCTCGGTACAGTTCGGTTTTTCCGAATGCTAAGCCGCACCGTTTTTTCTCTCCCCGGCGTTTTCCTTTCGCTCTCTCTTTCTCTCTTATTCTCTCTCTCTTTTTCTCTCTTACCGTATCTCCTGTTCAGGATATAAAATCCCCCGACTAGCTGAATAAATATATATGGCCTTATTAGCCCTTCTTGGCGTCGATCATGCGGCACGCCCCGCCGACGTTCCTCTGCCGCTTGCTTGATGAAAATATCTCGAATGACGTCATTCGATAATTTATTGACAACGCGAATGTTTGTTTTTTTTACGAGAGCAACTCACTAATTGCTTATTCTTAAACACGAGAAAGATTACATATAGGTATGTTTTATTATATTTATTTGTGTAAATGCTATTTCTTGTATAAATACGCAGTATAGTTTTCCCAAAAGATACTCAAATTTGTTTGTCATATTTGTTTTCGATAATAATAATCACACATCACAATCGCTTTCTGTGCGGAGCGCCTCTTCCGATAGAGAACAAATCCAACGTTTTCCATTCACATTCTTCGGTCCTGCTGATTTTGTCGAACCCGCGCAGACAGACAATCGAAGATGCAGACAGAAAAGAGGGGAACGAGGAAGAGAGACGAGAGAAGCGACGCGGGCATGGTCCTTCGAGACTGATTTCACAAACAAATGCCGCCGATTGAATCCTGGCATGTCGCAAGATGGATCGCTCTCTTTGAATCACAGATTACCGTCCGCCTCTCTGCCTTTCCACTTTGTCTCGCTTGCGCTCCTCGTATATAGCTCGTTCGTATCACCGAGGAGGCGTGCATCGTTTTCTCTCCGCCGCTTCGGCTCTTTGCCGCGCTGGCTCTTCTCGCCACTTCGTTCTTCGCGGAGGCGCCTCCATCTCCGTGAACGGTTCCCTTTCAATAGAGGTAGCTCGGCAATTTGCCACATGCCTACGTAACTACGACCCTCTCTTTCGTTATCTTTCTCTTTCTTCCTTTCTCCCCTTGCTCTCTTGTTACATCTCAAAATCGTGCACTACCTAAAGTTGACCGAAATAGCGAATTTTTGCGAAATCAATCGAATCGGTCAAAGACACACGAATTTATCGAATTTTAGTGGTTAATGTAAACATCGGCGGCGTCCCCGCACACGTCGGCGTAAAATATTGAATATTCTTTTTTAAATAATATGACAATAGGACGTTACGATAAGACGTTACAAAGACGAAGACATTGTCAATTTGGTCGAAATTGTGCGAGAAATAGCGTTTCGGAAACACGCGGGGGCGCAATCGAAAAGTACTTCCGCTAAATAAATTCAAAATAACTCGATGAAGAGGAAAGAAGCATCACAGGAGCACCGCAAGCTAAATGAACTGTAAAGCGGAATTCCAGGATTGTAAAGTCGTCGGAGTTGTGCATGAAGCGCGACCAACGAAAAAAAAAAAAGGAAGGAAGAGCGAAAGAAAAAAGAAAAAGAGAAAAGAAGCAGAGGGGAACAACCCTCGCATATACGCGAGACTTTTCGACGCTGGGACGATCTTTAAATTAAGTGCGTCAGCTTATGACGCCCGTGTAAAGTCTTGCGGGATGGATTTTCGATTTTCCCGTGGCTCGCGAGACGAGCGAAAAGACCTTCTGAAATACGTGGCAAATGCGCGTCGTCGCCGGGGACCCTGAGGGTGAAATGAATCAAGCCCACCCCTCATGCAGGACATACATTAGGCTGACACTAGACTTACCATTCGGAATGCTGACGATTTCTTATGTCAGGGGGGTGAAAACGAATAAGAGTGTTTCTCTGGAAAATCGAGGAAATATATTTTGTGACTATAAACGGGGAAAGAGGTCCTGGCGCCAGTTATAATCGTCGAATCCACTTTCGCGATATTTCTGATCTACGTATGTAACGTAATACCGCGTACATAAACTGTTTCGAATTCGTTTTCAAATTTCCGACATTATTTTAGAATAAATTATTTATTAAGAAAAAAAGAGAGAGAGAGAGAGAGCATAATACGGTAACATCACACTGTGGTAAAGTCACAAGAAAATCGTGTACATATGTTTTGTGTGTGTACGTCGTTTTCCAAAATTACAAAATTTTACATAAATCTTTTCAACACTGTATTTTTTCTAAGAACAATCGTATACTCCAGAAAATGCAGGTACTTTGAGTTTTGAAATTACGTAACTACAACTGACGGAAGAAATGAGTAATTTTGAGAAATGCAAACACACGAATGTGCTCAGTTAAATGCACGAATGACGAATAAACAAAAGAAAATTCGGGAAAAAACGGCGAACATAAATGTGCGTAAAGTTATAGGGTTGGGTGGGTCGACCGGCCGACGCACGATAGGATGTTTTCATTTGAGGAAGTGGGCCAACGTAGATGGCAACATAATCCCCGATCGAGGAGCCTGGCACGAGAGAGAAAATGGAGGGGACCATCTTATCTTCATATTACACACCCGTCGTGGTTCTCAACCTGAATTGTCAGCGATGTATATCTACAGCTCGCACAAAATGATACTGTATGTACATAAGTGGCTGATAGATACAAATTGTATCGGTTACACAAAATGACAGCAAGCACAGTTATCTAGTTGTCGTATATTTGCGAAATCAATTGGATATATTCGTGGTTTAATGAAACAAACAATGGTTTTATAACGGAACAAAAAATGTTTAATTTAAAATAAGTTCGCCGGAGAAGAGACTCGGTCAAACGAGTCTTGTTTTATGTTGCGCGAGCAGGGAAGGGAAAAGTGTTCGCACGTGTTACATATCGTACAGAAATATCCGGAAGTTGACGGATGGCGCGTATGTGTGTACACGTACGAGCTCGCATACAGAACGATTTCAGCAACTGAGGATAGTTTATGATCTCTGTAACCTTTCCACCCCTCTGCACAACTCCCACCTTTTGCGGGGATCTCTATCCGTTCTATCCGCAACGTGAGACTTTCCATCCCGCTATAAATTCGATCTAATATATTAGGTTTAACTTCACCAGAAAAGAGCTATATCGACGCCGAATATCGAGTCGTTGTCTTCGTTGTTTCTCTCTGTCGAAACTCACGTATACACCCATCCGATATGGCTTCGCAAGAGTTTCACTAATTTTGAACAGAACAAAAACTAAACAGAATGCATCCCCCGAATAAAAAAGTTCATTGACGCAACAGAAAAGTTGTATTTACAATCGTCAAAAATTAGCAGAGAGTGTTAAAAATTGACTAATTTTTTGTAGTTTATTAATTGCAAGTCAGTTCTACTATAGCGAGAAATGATAACGCTTGTTTATATTCTCATTCTCAATTTGCGTTTCCCCCGATGTGCAATGCTCCTGACATTTTGTTTTCCGATTGGCTACAAATTCTGCGGTATGTTCCGGTAGAATTCGAAGTTAGCAACTTCGAAGAATATTTTTTTATTTATATGACGTGTTTGAGAAGGAAGGCGCGAAAAACCACGTTCTTCCGATCAAACGAGAAAAATTATATTCTCTTTCTCTCTCTTTTCTTTTCTCTTTCTCTTTTCTTTTTTTTTTTATCGCTGCACTAGATTCTTCGATTCTAAAAATTTTCAAATTTTCTCTTTGAACAAAATCTTTCTTTCTCGTTTCTTTTCAATCAAAGTCAATAGCGGTCAAATCAATTTACATAACTTACATTATATTTCTTTATAAACCAAATAATCATATAACAGTATGTATCTGACATGTGTCCTAATCGAAAACAAAGAAATAAAATGTTCACAAACGTCTACCTATTTGTTGAATTTTTTAAGCAACTCTTCGACAAACTCATGAGATAAAGATGAGAAAAAGTTGATTTTACAACATACACACACTTACAGTGTCAGAGTTGTTTTTTTTTTCCTATACGACACAGAGCACGACACTAAAAAAAAAGCTCTTTTGCTAATTGGTTGTTCAAAACCAAAAGATGGGAAGATTTCCGGGGAATTTGCGAGACGTAGGTCGTCCCGTGGGATATCAAGGAAATTCTACGGATCGGAAGGTCTTTCAAATATTTAGCAGCAATATCCAATTTCGCTTTCTGTATCCCCACAATTCTTCATAGTTGATTTACTGAGGTAGTCTAAAATCTATTTTTGATCGATTACATATTTAATTACAAATTCGTAAACTTTTTGTGCGTAACAGTAGATACGTAACAGAGAGCGTTGTACCCCAAAGATAACCGCTAAATATATTTAAAACTTATTCTCCGATCGCTCAATATCTCTCGAACATGTGTAATTTTTTAAAGCGTCCCGATTTATTGCAATAAGTTTTCTTTCGTTCTGAGATCTCTGTATCGACCAAAAAGTAGCGATTCAATAAAAAAAAAAAAAAAAAAAGAGATTAGGATTAAGTGCGAATAGCTCTTCGACGAGTTGATCCCGCTGGCGGGATAATTCCTGGATGAAAATTTTGCAGATACCGGTAACACATAATGGTTCGTCAATTTGGAAATGACAAGACGCGTCTCTCGTCGCGCCAAATGGAACTTCTAAATGGATAAGATATAAGAGTTAACACTTGAGCAAAAAAAAAAGGAATTAGGTGTCTGATGTATGAGCCACCGTTATCCACCCGCTCGCTTCCGATGAAGCATACGCGCTGTAAATGATAGCGACATTTTTCTCTGCATTATTTCTCTGCGAAAACATAATAAATTCGAATGTATTGCGCGAAAATGTGAAAATCGCTGGAAACGTCGAAAAAAAATATACGATCGTGGTATATAACATTAACACGCAAAAAACAATTGCACAAAATTCTGCTTCGCATTGAAAATGTTTCTCAATCTAGTACGTATTATGAAAGGGGTGGCAATATCGATCTTTGTACTATATGAACGTAAAAACGTTAACAAAGATTGCATCGCGAGACATTCGATAAACCACACACACATACAAACACACACACACACACACACACAGAGCGGGAGATATTTTCTTCGCGCAAAGTTTGCAGATTCGATCTTTCGCGACATCGACACGAACAAACGTACAAGTTAGGGAAGTAGAGATGAAATAACAGGGTGATGCATGTCCCGTGTACCTAGGGGGTGAGGGGGATGACACACGAAGAACGTGATCCTGTGACTGATCCGTGAAAGCGTGAAAGGGTTTCTACTCCTTTTTCCATCCCTTTATCCACTCTACGAGAACACGGGGGTGTCGCGAGGCAACGATCAATCACTCCATGCCACAGCACCGACGCACTCCCTTCCCACTTAACTTCTATCTTTCTCTCTCTCTCTCTCTCTCTTTCTCTCTTCTCTGATATTACTCTCCACCGCGCTCTCTTCTTCGCCATCCGTGAAAAATATTCACATAAAGAATTTCCTACTGATACAGCCGAAACAAACGGCTCTTCTTCGAAATCAAATGCACTCAATCTACGTTATCCGTGCGTTGCGTTTATCGTCTGTCACCGTTAATTACATCGGTAATGTTGGAACTCAACAAAAACAAAAAGCAATGTATTCCTTTGGCGCGTGAAAATGATTCGCACGAAGATGTTTTTCCGAACAGCACTTTCTTTCGATTCATAACATATTGCGTTAATTTTCACAAAAATATTTTTCAAAAATATTTTTGAAGAAAACTATTCGCCGTAACGGCAGGAAGTCAATGACCTTCTTGAAAAGAAGGAAAGCAAAAAAAAAAAAGAAAGAGAGAGAGAAGAGGAAGAAACAGGCAAATGACGTGAAAGAGAGAAATCGCAGCGAGCGATTGAACACCGAAAGAAAGCGCGGACACACAGAAAATCGTAGGTCAAAGTACTATACGCTACCTTTACGGGTTGCGTTCGTGCTTGGATGATACTAAAAGTAATGTATTCATGAGATAATTATTTCTTGCATTCATTACAAAGCTGTAAAGTTTTTATTGGCCCGCTGGTCGGGCCGATGAAACGTGAGGCATGCTTACAAAGTTACAGATGACTCGCTCTCCCGGTTTCGCCTCTTTCTTTCTATTTTACTCAGACTCGTTCGTTATTCGGACCCGTTTGCGGCATATTTAAGGACAGTTCTTAACTCTCGAAATATCGCGCCTATAATCGAAACTCGTACACAAAACCACGTAGAGATACGTGGAATGTTAAAAGCATTCTTTAATACACAAATGTTTAACGACCTTGGCAAATATTCTTGCGAAAAAAAAACTATAAAATGGAAGCGTACAACTGAAATACAAGAAAACACGATGCTATTAGCTTAGAATTGTTATATAATCAATACGTATTATTCTAGTTAATTGTTAATGGGAATTAATTAATTATAAGAATTAATCATTATGTTCTTCTAATTATTATAATTAATTGTTAGCCCTGTTAAATTATTTTATTAATATTGTTACAGATTTTTTTATACTCTTTTACGAAATAAACAAATAGAAGAAAAAAAAGAGAAGAGAAAAGTAACATAGTAGATGATAGAAGAGGTTATATCCCAGAAGGATGCGAAGGCGCCGATAGAATATCAAGAACTTCGCTAGAAAACCCCGAACAGAAAACATTATTCCTTCCTGTATTGCCAAGTGGGAAAAATACATCACAGCCTTTCCGTCGTATAAAAATGTGTTTATGCGTTGCACACCGGGAATAGAAAACATCGTTCCGGGGAGTTTCCCATGTCCCGACGCTGACACAGGAATATGCCAACGTTCATGGGAGAGAAGAAGAAACACAGAAAGAGGAAAGATGAAAGTAGTTTTTCGTTTTCCACTTTTCTCGCTTTAATACTGCGAAAAGAAGTTTGTTAGCTTTTTTTCTCATAATGTAACATTTTTTTTTTATATAAAAAAAACATCCAAGAACCGTTAAAAAAAAAAAACGATTGAGAGTCGAACGGAAAGCTTCGATGTGCAAGGGAGAAAAGACGGGATTTCTAACAACGGAGGCAGAACTCGGAAGAATGGAATTGACGGCGCGAAAATCATGAAGACCGGAAACAAAGCTCATCGTTATACACTATCCTGACGTCAATGTGAGAGAAATGTCGGACCGAGATCGACCGTCACTACTCAAATGTAGGAGAATAGTGCAGTTTAAGTGATGACTTTTCTAAAATTTTGTATATTTGTCAATTAACTTTTATGCGACAAAAGTATACAATATTTTTTATTTTAAAATGTTATACAAAGAATCAAGTTGTACAGGCAACGTATATACGCTCATAACTATAAACTCAATTCCTTAGTAAATATTGTCTCAAATTTATTTATTTAAATGTCTAATTTTTTATTTCTTGTAAATCTTTTGGCAAATCCGTACATACACATATACATACTTGAATACATCATGCGGTTATTTTCTAAGCATTACTCACCGGAAAATAAAGGGAAGAGAATGGAGAGATCGAATGGTTTTTGTTCCGACAAAGAGCGTTAAACGATGATGTCGGAAAGAACGATGAATGTCGAGGGTGCAAACGTCGGGACACGAGATTTCGGCACGTGTTCACAGACATGTCTGCGCGATTCCCATAATCTCGTGCGGCTCACACTCGAGCTTTCGTTTCTTCCTGTAAAAAAGAAAAGCAGAGAGGAGAATTGGAATCGGCTTTTCGAAATTGCGCGCCGTCCTTGTAAGCATCCCCAGGGAGAGAAATGCAAACACACTTTTGCTAAATGCGCGATCTGAAGAAAAAGAAAAACAACAAGAGAAAGAGAGAGAGATGTTTTCTCTTGTCGTTACTCTTTCAGAATCCAAGCTTCCATCTTTCTAAATCCAAGATAAAGCACCGAGAGAAGCACCACAGAAGGCTTCATGTTTAAACGAATGAACTGTGTGTTGGCGCGCAATTGATTAAATATATATAAAACATTCATATAAAAAAAAAAAGAAAATTGTACTATTTAGATAGAAAATTTATAGTTTTTTTGCGTGTGAAATAAACATAAATTTTTTTATTCATACTGTGAACATGTGTCGCAATAAAGTAGTTCTGTTTTTTGCAAAAAAAAACAAAATAGAAAATATACAAAATAAGACACTAAAAAAATTATTTTTTATTGAGAAAGAGTTAAAAAAAAACTATTAAAATCAACCAAAAATAAAATCACTTCCTTTTTACTTTCATATAGATATAGAATCGTGTATTTACCGCTATTATATATTTTGTAAAAAAATCTTTTTCACTCACATGCGTCATCTAGCGCAATCATACGACACTATAATTATATCTTTTCAAGCTAAATCTGATATCTATAGAGTTTGGATTATAGGAAATCAATTATACCGCCATCTTACGAATACTGTTCGAATTATGATATTGTTTCTGATATGTATTTCAAAAATCGATTTCTTTTTTTCTTTAGAAGAAGAATAATATAATCCAAGAAAATATATAACAAAAATCCACATCGCTTACTTTTATTGCAAAAATATACAGAGATATATATAAGAGATATATGTACATATGATATATGTACATATATGTACATATACGTATATCAATTTAATAACAGAATTTAAATCACTATTTTTATAAATTATTATATATAAATTCTCATAGTGATAAAATTTCAAGAAAAACACAATAATACTAAATCTTATCACACATTAATTAAAATCATTTATAATTACCATTTACAATTATCAAAAACTACCTGAACTATTTAAAACCACATCACTTGTCTCTTTCACTGTTGAACTTCACTATAAAACTGACTATTCCTTTTTTGCTGAGATTTCTGTATGCAAAGTAGTAGAATGAATATAAGCTGCACCAACTTTCTTCTCTTTTTCTTAGTCTCAATCCTATATAAAATAAACATCTAGTTATAATTTAAAATAATCCCGACATCTAATTATAAAGTAATCTCTACAATAATCTTGATAAACATCTTTCTTTATGAAAATAATTCAGTAAACAGTTTTAAAAATACTTATACATAAAAAGAAATATCCACATTGCTTATTTGAGTAATTTCTTTTATTCAAAAGCAACAGAAAAAGATAAAGGTTTGAAAAAATAGAAATAAAACTTTGTTTTAAGAAAACCTTTGATATATTATCATGTCTGTTCTACAAAAGCACCTTAGAAAACACAATCAATACTTTCAATATTTCAGTATTAACATCAGTATTTAATACTATTAAATTAGTATTTTAATTAATATCTAATTGTAGTATTTTATAAATTTTATTAAATAATGCAAAGACAATGCTTGGTATTAAGCTAATCTGACTATTTCTAGATAAATATATATAAAACAATCAAATGTTGGAATATAATGAGTAAAATCTATCTTTTGAATAACTATTTGATAGTAACAATATGCACAGAATGTTACACACTATCAGAATCACCACTGCTTCAGATACTTCCAACACCCTATTGTTTGATAAAAAGCACTCTGCGAGACAAATCCAACGAAAGCCTGTAGCAAACTGAGCTACCCTTTCTATGCAGAGTATCCATAGAGTAGATCCAATACGAGTCTGTCCAATCACAGGCAGCTCTCAGTCAACCCCCAGGAGTTCCTCCTTCATAGGATACGTTGGAAAGAGATAGTGGTAGCCTCGGGAGCATGCCTGTCCGAGCATGCTCGGAACGGCAGTCTGAATCCCATTGCCCATGCGTTGTACCCTATCAATTTTGACTAAAAACAGAAGAAAAATTGACTTAACTTAGACATATCAAGATGACAGTTAGATATATCAGTATCTATACCTTTAAATTTATCAATTCTGAGTTTTAAATCACTTAACTGATAATAATACTCATATGTTATATCTATGTGCTTGTTTTTAATAAAATTATACAGAAATTTAACACTAAATATTTCATAAAAAGATCAGAAGAACAGGCAATACTTTTTCTGCTGCAACACCCTTTTTTAGCAGCTACCCCTTTTATATAGAGAAAGGGGTGCCTGTACCCCTTTCAAAGGGGTTAAAAAAGAGGGGACTCTATAATATAGCATCAGAGAAATCTTTTGATACAAAAAGACCAAATGGCAAACAAGGTCAATCGGCAGTCAAAATCTAAGCAATGCTTCGCTGAGACCGATTTTGTTTATATCGACGAAAATTTAAAGCACATTTTCAAGTTACATACACATCTCACTAGCTTTTATCAGTAAACATATAATTTCTATTTTAATATATCATTTAATATAATCTTTTTTTGTAATAAATTAATTTTTATCCATTCGCATTTAACTATTTACAGTAGCATTTATAAAAATGTATATTTATATCTCACTTACACGCAAACTCTCTATTATAGGTTATAAATCATTTTTTTCTTTCAAATCTAAATAAGCAAAATTTTGATTCCAAAATATCAAAAATATTAGCGTTTAGATATTTCCTTTTACTTTTGCAAATGTAATTTATTTGTTCTTGACAAATATCATATATCTTATTGTGTTTATATATATATATATTTACCGACAAAGTTTATCGATCGCCTACGCACATGTTCTTGGCTGCGGTTCGTTTCATGCTTAATCGCGCATTTATCTATAGTACATGTCACGTATACTATAGATAAATGTGCGCTTAAGCATGAAACGGACCGCAGCCTTTAAATACCGACCTTGCCAAAATCGATAGCTGCGTTCCGTTTCACACGCATATGCTCGCATTTATCTATACTATACGTGACGTGTACTATAGATAAATGCGCGCAATGCGTGAAACGGAACGCAGCCTATAAGAGAGAGCCTTTAAAGTACCGATTTGTCTCAAAATAGCGGCACCAATCAGAAGCGGAGTGTAATTGCTGAATTCTGATTAAGCTGCGATCACAAATCTATGGTTCTGTTGCACTCTCTACGTTTTACTGATAGAACTTTAATCACTCCATCACTCTCAATCGATAAAACAAGTATCACATTTTTTTCGTGAGATGTTATTTAAATCTTTGTGTACTAGTTTTTTTTTTTAAGTTAATAAATGATGTCCAGTTACGAGTTATATTCACGAAAAACCAACGTTACTTTTAACAAGTCCATCGCGAATCTTTGAAAATCTACTGAAATTGTCCTCTAACTACATACGTACATTGAGATTTAAATATGGCGCCAATCTCCTTCCACTTGTCTTTTAATTCATTCTTTCTGCGGTATTTTGCGGCGACGTTCCAGAGTGACGCTGGAAGTGTTTCCCTTATCCCGATAATTTCCCTGCCCCTGACGTGACGTGGATCAGCGCGAATGATGGAATATGGTGGGCTGTACAAATAAAGCAACGGTTTATCAATATATGGTCGTGATATGTCATAAATAAATCTGTTAAAACAATAATTGTCACGAACGGGCACGAGCTAGATTTCTTTTATAATATTTAATAATTGTTTTATTTTGTAATTACGTGACGTTGCGACCATGGGTCTATGCAAGTGTCCGAAAAGAAGAGTAACGAATCAATTTTGTTTCGAGCATCGTGTCAATGTATGCGAACATTGCATGGTTACAAATCATCCAAAGGTACTTCTTACATTGTTTCATTTGTTTTTGAATATTTATTTATATTTAGACGCTTCCGATTAATTTTATTTTGTAATACTTAACGAACGTGATATCGATTGTTATTACATGTGCAATGTCAAAATGTATTATGTTGTAATTTACAGTGTATAGTACAGTCGTATCTGTTATGGCTTCATGATCACGACTATAATCCAATCTGTACATTATGTTCCAATAAATTAAATGACGGTGATTGTGTGAGGCTAACATGCTATCACATGTATCACTGGGTATGTTTGGATCAATATGCAAGAGATTTACCAGCAACCACCGCACCAGCAGGATATACTTGCCCTGCTTGTAAAGCTTGTATCTTTCCACAACCAAAGCTAGTATCACCAGTTGCTGATGTACTGAGAGAAAAATTGGCTACTGTAAATTGGGCCCGTGCTGGTCTTGGTTTACCATTGGTACATATCGCATTGATAATTCTCACAGAGTTCTAAGAAGATACAATCTTGTGTTACATGATGGTCTTCTGTTTTCTAGCTAAGCAACGATAGAGAACAGAAAACAGAACATGAACGTCCTTCCATAGCAGTGAACGATACTATGTTCCAAAATCATACAATGTCTACGCCATCGTCGTCTACTGTAGCTATATCTCGTACAAATACCGTCGATTCAAATTCCATTGTCAGCAGTGTGCACACGAACAGTCAAAAACTCGGTCCGCCTTATTCTGTTGTGAACATTGACTCTTTTCAAGGATTATCTTCAGCTTCCAGAAAAGTATGCGAGGCCTATGACGATCCAAAAGACATATTCTTCGATCACGATGAGAACAAGTATCAGAGGAAGTCCGCTGTGGAATGGTTTTTACGTTGGTGGAAACTGATACTGGGAGCGCCATCCCGACAGAGAACCACGAGACATCTGTATAAGAGATATGTCGTAATAACTATTGTTGGATTTTTGTTTTTTATTGGGCTTATTCTTATCTTCTCGCAATTGGGCAGAATGGCTACGGATGGCGATCCGAGCTTCGATGTAATAGCGAATCCTAATCTAAAGTTTGGAGACAAGTTGTAATCTCTTCAATCGCGTGTGTGCACGATTGTCGATGCTTGTATATGAACAAGACAAGGTCTGGAAGTACTAGACAAAAAAATCACGAAACCATATAGTTCCAATAGGACTGAACATAATTGCGATAATTTGTAAACAAGTGCGCACTTTTCTAGTTAGAATTTATGTATATTAGCGGTGCATGTATGTGTGTGTGCGCGTGCATACTATGTACATTTATGTGTGTATCTGGGCGTGTTCGTGTGCGTGTGTAAATAACAGCATATAATACAATAAATATTTGTTATATAAATTTTTTATGTAAATTATATATCTTGTCATTAAAGGTGTATATTTAAACCTGTAAAAAAAAAACTGTGGTAACTATTTTTCCGTATTATTTTGTTTTTGTGCGAAAAATTGTTGTATGAAACACTAAAATTGAGATACTTGGATTTTCTTGATACTAGACCGAATTTTCATCTTTGTGAAAAAAATAAGTTTGTGTTTTATACTTCCTCAACGATACAAACACACACAGTGAGAAGTGTGATGTGTGTATACATACATATCCAGAGATTTTTTCTTGAGTGTGTGCGAAGAAAATTTTAAATTCAAATAAAATCAGATTCTCGCGCAAACAACTGTTCCATGAAATATTAAAACGCTTCTAGTGTGCTACATAAAAATGATCCATCGATCTGTCTCTCTCTGCCGACACATTTCTCCCGTTCTTCTCTCAGGATGCTAACTTAAAACAAGAATGATACGATGTAAAATTGCGACAATAAATTCTGTCTCGTTGTCTAATAACATCTTTATATATATATATATATATATATACGATCTTTTTAAAAGTCAATTTTCTGCCAATCTGCCAGCTTGCATACATTTGCTGTCAAACTGCCGACATTGCGTTTATCGGAGCGCTGCCCAATAAAGCAAGTCAAATTTCTCCTTCCAAGATTGAACAGGAGCCGGTTGTAGGCAGTGGAACAATCGCGTTGAATCTCACTTCCTTCGATTCGACGTGCGTGCTGAGTGAACATGCTTCCGCGACTTTATACAAGTCTGAAAAATTACTTTTCCAATCCGCAATGTGAGTATATTAACGCAAGTATGAATAAAAAATTTTTGTTAGTTATTACTTGTAATAATGTTTTATCGTATACAGTAGGCGGAAAGAAGACTGATATATATGTTTACGTATATATGTATTTGATATTTGTACAGAACTCAAAGAGATAAAGCTCATATATCGGACCAACGTAATAAGCTTGGAAAGAAACGTACATATCAGTAAATTTAAAAATGTGGAAAAGACATTCAATGACGTTGTATATCGGTGTAGTGACTTCGTGTGTTTTTAACTACTTACTGTATAACGGATACACGAGCGCGGCTGCAGCGCTTTCAGTAGTTTCGTTTGGTAAGAGGATCCAGTTGCTCGCTTAGCTTGCTCATTTACTATTCGCCGATTCGGTGCCGCTTTAGAAATAAAGATTATATCTTGATCGAAAATAAATACTTTCCGGTCCTTTTGCCATATTTTTTAAGTTTATTATTTTTGATTGTATCTTCAGACGTAAGATACAAAATGCATTGTAAAATTTCACAAAATGAAGATCATCAGTAGTATTTTTAAGCAATTGTTAATCTATACGTTGTAAAATAAGTTATTGTTTTAGTATACATATAAAATACACAGGAAAGATATTGTAAAATTATTCTTTTACTATAAAAATCTTCTAAAAAAAATTACTACAAAAATTTAGTAATTTTCTGGTTTTTTTTTGGTGTGTGTTCATATTTGCGTATAAAGATATTAGTTTCAATTTGAAATTTAAATTTAATGATGATAAAGTGCTTCTTATTTTTTCCTCTCCTCAGGTGCCGCCGCGTCTTATTACTATTTCAATCGTCGTCGGAAAATTAAAGCGCAAGATCTTATTGTTATAACCGGTTGCGATTCAGGTTTAGGCTACAGTCTGGCGATGCACTGTCGAGCTCGAGGCGCGACAGTTTTAGCTGGAATACACAGGGATATTCCTCCGAGCGAAGCTAAAAAATCTCTGGAGCACAATGGCATCATCACTCACGGTCTCGATATAACGGATGACAAATCTGTCTATGAGTTTGTGAAAAAAGTGCAAGAGATATTGAGAACAAAAAATTTAGGTAAGTAATAAAGAAACAAAACAGAGAGATAAGTAATCAAAAAATTAAAACACTTTTGTTTCAAATAAATAAACAATTTGCAGGATTTTTTTAGTTGTTTACCACTGTTTGCAGAAATGCACGCATTAGTTAACAACGCTGGAGTGATGATTATTGGAGAATTTGAGTGGCAAACGCAGAAGCATGCCGAACATCAAATAAACGTGAACCTGCTGGGAACAATGAGATTGACGCGAGAGATGATGCCGATTTTACGAAAACACAATAGCAGAATTATTGTAGTATCCAGTCACTGCGCCAGTGAATCCTTGCCGGGAATAAGCATATACGGAGCAACGAAAGCCGGTCTCGAAGCATGGGCAACTTCTCTTCGAACAGAGATTGCCAAGTACGGCGTCAAAGTGATTTCCTTTGTACCCGGTCAGTAAAAACTGTTAGAAGTAGACTATAACTTTATAAATGAATAGTTTTCTTTTTATATTGCACAATTTCACTTTTGTTCTTTTTTGTAATTATGATTTCCGTCGTGTTATATCCATTGCAATAAATTGTTTTCACTTTTTCTGCAAAAAATTACAGGTGGCTTTATAACGGAAAGTGGCATTATGAGACGACAAAAGCAGTACTTTGATGAAATGCGACGTGAAATGACATCGGAAACATTGGAATATTATGACGAATATTTCGAGACATATAACGCATATTTTTCACAAGTTTCGCAGCTCCGAAAGTCCTCATCCGTGACACTGCTGTCGGATCCGGAAATCTACGAAACTTTCGACGGCGCTCTCCTTGATATCCGTCCGTCCACGGTTTACAGGTGAAATGTCGTTTGATTTTGTTGTTACAATGTATCTCTAAATTGGTAGTAATTAATCTCCAAACTTTGATTAGTAAGTTTAAAGATCGAAAAAATCGCAATTCTGCGCCAACAGATAAGTGATACAATTATTGTACTTCATTTTCAGATCCGAGTCTTGGAGATACTTTTTCTATCGAATATTATTTAAAATGACACCCGTATCGATACGTGATCGACTGGTACTAAGTTTTGTTCGAGTACCATTGTGGAAGCCCAAAAAACAATAAATTACATGTGCAATTACAGATAGTGCAACAACTTATATTTTACATATTATATTTTGTATACATATTAAAAAATAAAAATCCTACATACTATATGAGTTTATACAAAAATATATATGTAACTAAAATGTTTTATTTTAACTTTACTTTGTCCTTAGATTTATTTTTCTTCCGCAATCTTTGAATATGTTTCTTTAATTTACCTGTGTTCTTTAAGTCTTCATATTGTTTGACTAAATCCAAAATCTTCTTTTCAGCTACAAGAAACACGAAATATATTATTAAATCATTAATTACAAGTAAATTTTATATAACTATACCAATGTTCCTATTTACTTACATTTCTTTTTGAAAGCAGGCTTTTTTCCTTGCTTAATAGATTCTAGTAATTCTCTTTTCTCTTGATACTCTTTTTTTTCTTTCTCTTTTTCCCGTTTTTCTTCTCTCAGCTGATTCTCAAGTCTTTGAATGAGATATTTGATCTTTTTTATGGATTTTGGATCTGTAGTAGTTTCCAATTCTTTTTGTAAAGTTTTCAGATCATTTTTGCGTACTTTTGTAAGAAATCCATAAGATTTCCTGAAAGCTTTCTTATCAAATGTGCCACATAAGCTGTCAAATCTAGGATCCCGAGATTTAACTTTTTTGTCAGAAATCACATCATTGAACTTGAAATCAGGAACTGGTTTCTTAGAAGACATTTCCCGTGGTCTATTTTTATTTTCCCTCTTAAAATCAGTTTTTTTCTTGTTTTCTCTCCCAAATACTGTCTCATTGTATATTTTGGTACCCAATCTCTTCTGTAATTTCTGCAAATCTTCAAAAGATACATGTTTCAACTCTTCTTGTAATTGTTCCTAAAGTCCACAAAACACAAAATTTATCATTAGGCAAAACATACTTAAATTATTGTATACCAGTACAGTAAAACTTCCACATCAAAAATTGTAAAAAATAAAAAAAAATTACATGAGATGTTTCTTTTCTTTCTCTTTGATTCTTTGCAAGCAAAGGTTCTTGCTCGTCGTTCATGTTGGAATTTAAGTTGCGACACAAAGAGTATGAGACAATTTTTTCTCCTCTCACTCACACAGTCTCTATAAAGGAGAACTTCTATAAGTCTTTTAGATTATGCACAAATATTATCACTAAATTATATTAAGAATTACAACCTTGTAACCAATTTCAGTAAATTTTAAGATGATCACATGTTCTAGTGAGTAAAATACAAAGTGTTAGTTAAAACAAAACAAGACACACATTTTCATTGCGCATCACAAGATTGTTTTACCAGGTTACGTTCCAAAATTCTACCTTGATAACCAACAACTATAGTACACGTTACATGAAATATAGCATTTTAGTAATCAAGGATTTTGGAACGTAACCTGGTAAAACAATCTTGATGCGCAATGACAACCAATGAAAATGTGTGTCTTGTTTATTTAGTGCTGACATCTCAGCTTCAGATCGTGGAAACTATCTCTTCTACGCTACCTTCTATATTTATATTATAGTATCGTAAACAATCTCTTGCCGCAAAGTATCTTATACTCTTTATACCTATATATACATGATTGTTAGTTTGATTTTGTAAGTGATTTTATATCAGTGCAAAATGAAATCGAACATAGCAAATGCTGTTTACCGACGAGAAATGGGATTTGGTAAATATATGTGTGATACTTTACGAGAGTGTCTTAAGATACACACACATTTGCGTACACAGTCAAATAAAATCGCTATAATCTAATGTATTTGTTTGTTATTATAGAACCAATACATGATTATGATGTTGCACTTAATCGTTTGACATGTTATCATGACAGTATATATCGCGGCATACCGCCAAATGCAGACTTTAATTCTGAAACCCCGATGTTTGCATGTCGCTTTTCCACTAAACAAGACCATGAGCACATTCTTGCTTTAGCAAATGAAGATGGAAAACTTGCCCTTCAAGATACAAGATCAGAGAAAAGAGATAATCAACCTTTGGCTGGAGCACAGGTTTCTGTTTGTTTTGATAGATATTTTAGATTTAACATGCCAATTTTTTTAAATATCACAGTATGTATTAATAAAAAATATTTTTTTAAGGCACATTGTAATGCAATTTTTGACATTGCGTGGATGCCCGATGAATTAAAACTGGTTACAGTATCAGGTGATCACACGGCACAGCTCTGGGATGTCAATAAAGGAATACGTCAACTCAGATCCTTCCATGCACATACTCGAAGTGTAAAGACAGCAATATTTCGTGATCGAGACAAAGGTAAAATGTTGAACAATTATATTATACATGTAGATTTATATACATGTAAATGTACTATTTTGCAAAGAATAAGAAATACTTTATTGATACTCGAAATTAAGCAATTTAAAAGTACATTCTCTTGTAAATGTTTAGCTGTTTTTGCAACTGGTGCTAGAGATGGCTCCATTATGGTATGGGATATCAGAGCCAGCCAGCCAAAACCAGATAATTGCATTGCAAATGCGCACAATGTCAATGCACATAATATAATAAAACGAAAAACAGTTTCACAAACATCAAGAATGCAAAGTATCACTGGTCTGGTGTTTCAAGATGATTTTACATTAATTTCATGTGCTGCAGGCGATGGGTACGATAGATTGACAAATAGCTGTTGATAATTCGTAAAACTCTTATTGTTTTGACTGTTATTCGTTTTTTCTTGTTTCAGTGTGATAAAAGTATGGGACTTGCGTAAAAATTATACTGTTCATAAAAAAGAACCGATAGCCAAACATTGCATGAATTATGCAGGAACCAGCTCAAAGTACGGCTTTTCTTCGTTGTTAATATGTCCTGCTAAAATCACATTGTATGCAAGTTGCATGGATAATCATATATATGCTTATAACGTATCATCATATAATCGTCAACCAGGCAAGTAATTTTTTCTATTAAACACCAGAAGTTATTTTATATATAAGCAGTAAATAAAATTTACACAAAATTTATTTGTAGCAGTGGCATTTTACGGACATCAAAATCTCACATTTTACATAAAAACCTGTTTGAGTTCTGATGGCCGCTACCTTGTCAGTGGATCGAGTGATGAACTCGCATATATTTGGCACACTAATAGACCAGGTTTGCCATTGGTAAAACTTCACGGTCACACAGAAGAAGTAACGTGCGTTTCTTGGTACAGTAAAAACGACATTAAGGTTAATATTTATTTATACTATAAAAATTAAGCTAAAGTTATATTATTATTTATCTAATTCTGATAATCATTTCAGATAGTAACGTGTTCTGACGATTATACCTATAGATTATGGACAGTTGGATATGAAGATAAAGCAGACAACGAGAATAAACAGATATCTGGTCGAGCTGAGGTTGTACTAGACAATTTTCCAGTAGGTCATACAAAATTGGAAACTACTCCAACTACTAAATATTCAAATCGCAATCAAGAAATTACACCAGAATACTCGAATACTACTCCGGGTAAGAATTAAAGCGCATTACAAGAGCGAGTTCTAAAATTCTCATTTTTTTAAACTTGAATATTTTTAAAAACAAATTAAATCTTCGCACACAGTTAAAACTCCTGAGTTTAACAATGGAAACTCCAATCATCATGAAGATAGGCAGATTCCTCTCAAACGTACCTACCAACAAATGATGATGGGATCTGAAGAAAAATTTAATTCAATTTTATCTCCCATTCGCGAAAACCGCGAGATGATTTTCACAAAACGGGCTTACATGGAAAATAGCAGTACACGAAGATTTGGCAGGGAGAATATTATTAATTCAAGTAGAGGCTACGATTCGGACGAACCTAGTACGAGCCAGTCTGGGAGCATAGGCGACGGAATTCTTTTCTCGCCTACATCTAACTTGCCAAATTTTGTCTTGGACGGTACGGCACCGCATTTGCTCGAGATGTCGCCGCAGAAATGCAAGGAGAATGTAGATTGGTTAACGAAAATAAGAAAAGAAAAATACGAATGCAGAGTGTCAACTCACAAAACTCAAGTTGTGACACCTGGTCGAAGATCTAGCAGATCGCGATCAACTGAGCCTCAAAAGGTAACAGAGACAAGAAAATCTGCTAGGAGTACGTTATTAAACTTTTTCAAAGCCGCGAGTAACGATTGCGAAAAAAATCCCTGTTCGAAAAAAAACGGTTTTACTCCTTCAACAAATTCGGAAGATAATATTATACCTTCCACGAGTTTAAGTGAACAATAGCAGACAGTGAATAGTTACGAAATAAAATCTTGAAAACATTGTTCTTTTGACTTCTACATCGCGTAATGTAGATATCTCGTACATATTTCAATATCTTACACAATCCACGAAACTATTTTGCAACACTTAACGGTATGCGTTATAAATGTAGCGCAGTACACAGACAAAATGTAAAAATAGACTATTAGATGTTATCGAAATTTGTTGTAAATTTATAGAATAAGGAAAAGCTGGTTAACATTATAAAATTTTATATTTTATAGAAACTGCTTTATATCGAAGTGATAAAAAGAAAAACTCGCAATAATTTACTTGTTTTTGATTAGCACAGAGATTAGTATTTAAAATAATTTAAATTGTAAGATATAAGTACGGCCTGCCATAATCAAATCTTTTAGTGTAAGAACGTGGTGTGTCAAAAACCGTATGTAATATTAATGTACAGTATAAATCAATACTCGCTAAGTTATGGTAAATGAGGATTGTAGCCCAGGAACCTGCGATATCAAAATGCGAAATGGGTTTAGCTACAACTCTAATTTACTCCGATTTGATAAACAGTGATTTAGACTAATGACATTTATAAAATATTTTTTTACGCGCAATAAATTATTTTTTATATAAAAACCAAAGTTAAAATAATATTTTTTGTCGCACGCACGCACGCACACACACATACATACTACACATAAAGTTTTAAATACCTTTTTGATTTTTGTCACTTTTCGTTATTTATAAATACTGTAAATCTCTTCTGGTCATATATCTTTAGATGCTACAAATTTTTAAATTTTTTTGTATTTTTTATTGTAATTAAATATTTTATATTAAATATTCAATTTTATATATTAAATATTATATAATCTTAAATATTATATAAATATAATATCAATCGAATATATAATTAATCGAATATTTTATATTAAATATTCGATTAAATATTCGACGGACAAAATATTGTTACAGATTGTGGGAGTAATTTGATTTGAATTGGCTTCAATTCATATTCTTCACGATCAATATAAAATATTTTATCAGTCTGAAAGAAAATTATTACATTAAAATTAATTACGGTTCATATTTTCACCATACATTTATCTATAAATATGATAAAACAAGCAACTTACAGCTTCAGGATATAATTGAATATCTTTCGCATTTAACAGTACATTTACTGGTAATTTATCTTCCATTTCTTGTTTCCAACCTTTTTCCACAAATTTCGTATAGTTGATATTTTCTGGACCTTTATCAAAAAATGCTTAAGGTTTAAATATATACGCTGATTATGTATCACTGGCTTAACAAGTTAGTAGAAGAGATTCAGAGGAGAACTCATTCCTCACATAATTAATCTCAATAAATATGATCTTTTTACCTAGAGCTATTTGTAACGAAGGCACCGATTCAACTGAATTCTTTGAATTTTCTGTACTTATACACAGTTCTGTTGTTGAAACAGGCATCTCATAAAATGTAGCGCAGTTTTCATTTATTATCTTGCTATAATCAATGTGATTATCTGAAAAATATAATAAAATATATTGTAAGTGTATGTGAAAGAAGCTATTTTATTTCTATTTTTCTTCTTGTATATTTTTTCTATATATTTACAAATAATTCTATTATCTCTAATCAACAATTTAACTTATAAATTTGTTTTACCTAAACCAAACGGTTTTTTCTTAGGTAAAAATGCATGCCACCATCTTCTACTCAAACTTGCAGAATGATTATGAGACAATTCGTTAGAATAACAATTTGAACATCCTTTGCAAGGATTAGTATACTTCATTACTGCATTACACTTCCAATTTAAATCTGATTTGTAGCCACTGAATATATAAGCTGCATATCTATGTTACAAATTTAACATCATGTGATGTACAAGATATACGCACAGACTTGTGGAATTTAAGATAAATAGTATTTACTTGCGTAAAGAACCCCAGTACCAATATTTATCAACACGTGCATGTGTATCACTCCAAGCTCCCCATTCTATATTTCCTGCAGCATAAACTGGTTTTACAGATGTCTCTGGATTCTCCTTAAATTAAGATTGTCTTTAAAATAAAGTCAATGTTTTATCTCAATGCAATTTGATTTGTATTGATTTGTATGTACACATATAAAAGTAACAAAAATACACACATACATACTTCTAATACTTTGATCTCCATAGTGTCTATTAATTTCAACTTATTTTCAATAACTGCCATTGTTGCGTCAAGCATATGATGTACTTCAGCCAAATTTTGATATCTTCCATAAAATTTACTTGCAATTGTATTTGTGTTTCCCAGTGGCAAAATTCCAATAGGACATTGCCTGACAGAATGGAGATTGCATTCATACTTTCTTATTAAACCAGTTATAACATCAGACAAGGTACCATCTCCTCCTGCTACAATAATAGCATCCGTAGGTGTTTCTAGATTTGTTATTATACTACGCGCATGACTTCCTGATTGTGTATCAATGATAGTAACAGAAATACCAGCTAAGTGCAACAAAGGCTCACAATATTTCTCAAATAGTTTCTTAGCTTTCCTGGAAAAAAAAAAAAAGAATTACTTATCACTTATCAATTAATCACTTTTTAAAGCTGATATTAAAATTCTCATTTTTCTCTACCAACCTTTTTTTAGCTGCTGGATTCAAAATAACAGTTACATGACGAGGCTTGACATGTGTAGGACAAGGAGCATCTCCATACTTAACTACATCTTTGCAATATTGGTACATTAATTGTTCTACGCTACAAGTTATACAAAAAAATGTTAAGATGTATAAAAAGAGATATTAATAAGAGATGCAACATATGTCTATATATCTATGTCTATATATGACATATACGTATATATATTTTGCAAAACTGTTCGTATTAAAAATACAACAAATACAGAAATTAGAGAAACACAGGAGAAAAATGTAGGTTATGTTACCCATGATTTCTTACTCATATGCTTCTTTGCCATATGAAATTCCATAGGAGAAAGCTGCCGCTGCCACCAAAGATTTCTTCCAATTATTTCGTATTGTCTTTAGAAAGTTCAATACTCGAGCCATGTTGTCATTGAAAATTTAAACATTTAAAAAACTGTGATAATTCTGTGATTAATCAAAAAACTTTTATTAGCTTCAATTTTGATGAAACTGAGCTCGTTCGATGCGATTTTATACGAAACGAAAGAATTTGGCGGAAAAACGCATCACTCGATCCTGCGAAGCGAATTATTAAGTGTTAAAGTGAGAAGATCTTCAGGTTAGGAACTCTGTCACATTGCTGCAAAGGTTAACAATCGTTTGCAGCGCTGCAAATAATTCGAAGCGTCACATTTGTGTTTTACTTGTAGCAGAAAGAAGCCTGAGAGCGGCCAGGTCCATAAGAGAATGGGTGCGTTCAGACAACATAACAGTTGCACAACAGTTGAGAGATAATCACTTCTGATTGGATCATACTTTTGGAACCGCAGCAGAGTTTGAAGAATAGTCCTATCATAAGTGATGATCTCTCAACCGTTGAGTTGTCTGAACGCACCCAATGTGTAATCACTTTTCCGCCCCGTAAACTAGCGCATGTCCACGGGTGGTACACATTGGAACTACGCAGCCAGTCCACGAGCGACATGTCGGTGCGCTATGTCCACAGCGTGCGGTTCTATTCTGTGCTATTTGGTACCATTTAAACTCGTGCACATAGCACAGAATAGAACCGCACGCTGTGGACATAGCGCACCGACATGTCGCTCGTGGACTGGCTGCGTAGTTCCAATGTGTACCACTTGTGGACATGCGCTAGTTTACGGGGCGGAAAAGTGATTACACATTCTCTTAAGCCTATGTCACACTACGGATTGGGATTGAGATTAGATTGAAATTTGACCAATTAGAAAAAAGAAAACCAATCCTAAGTTTAGTGATCTTCTCTCTGATTGGCCAAATTGCAATCCAATCTCAATCCTAATCCGTAGTGTGACATAGGCTTTATGGACCTGGCCGCTCTCAGGCTTCTCTCTGTTTGTAGATAGAAAACTGAGAGCAGTCACGGGCGCATTTTATAAACTTTCGTTCACGAGCGCCGCGATGTCCACGTTTTTTGTACGCAAACTATACAAATCGAGCGCACCTTCAATTAATCTCGCTGAACTCAGCCATAAGCACGAAAACCGCTCTCAGTCAATTCAACTCTGCGCACTTGTGTTGTCTTTTGTTTATGGTTAATAGCCTGAGGTGCTTATGAGCCATGAGATCCAAGATAAAAATGGTAGTTACCGAGGACAATCGTGATAGCGCGGAATTAAATGTCAGAGAAAATATGGATAACGTTCAGCCCAATGGTGAATTGGTTCCGAGAACTGAACAGAATAACGACGAGAGAAATGTGCGTTTAATTTTTATATTACCCTAAATTGCTTATGTACATATTTTCAAGGTTTTTCAAGTGTATCTTGAAAACTTGTGGCATTGAACCGTTTACAGTTTATCAGGAGTTTTGAAAATACGCGTGTAATTTTTTTTTTTATTGTAAACGATGATTGTGAGGAAAATTATACTTCGGTTGATTTTACGTGTGCTGTTGAAATACTGTTGAAGAACTTAATTGTTTAATTCAGAGATTTATTTATTTTACAGACAAATGCCGAGCATGAAGACCAAAGGAGAAAAGCTCAGCAACCATCGCGCTTAGAATCATTCTTTGCCATGACTAAGTCGCTAATTATACGAGCTCTTATGATTTATTTTATTTGTAGCTTCTTTAGACGTCCCGAAACCAAGTCTCCCAATATTAGCGATACACGCATACAAGCTGTAAATATATTTCCCAATGGAACGTTATTTGATCTTAGCATTTATCTGTCGGAATCAGAGACCTTTGATCAGTTTGACAATCAATCTTTGATTTGGTTCGAAAAAGGATTGGTGTATGGAGATTGGTACAGTGGGCCGAATCAAGATGGATCAAGAGTTCTCGAATATTCTTTTGTTCCTTCAGAACAATTAAAACAAAATGGCTCTATATACCTTCATGTATATATAACAAAAAGTGGAAAATCACCAAATCCTAAAGCTGGCAAGGGAGTTTATGCTGGCGATTATATGTCTTATTCAGGAAAAATGCTAAATAAATTTAAAAAAATTAAATATCAGAAACGACATAATTTACTGACTGGTGAAAGTACAGCCAGCAAGGAGGAAATAGCAGTATGTAAAAAAAACATTGTTTTTTTTTAATTATTGTCTTATTGTATATATATATTACATGTGTACATGTATGAACTTTTGCAGAAAGCTGAGATAATGAATCAAGAATATGTGTCACATTGGCATCCAAATTTGACTGTTAATTTAGTAATTGATCAAGCTAATTGGATGTATGGTGCAGTGCCACAACCATTGGATGAATGTAAGTTATATTTAAAAAGAATAACAAAATAAAAAAAAAACGAAAGAAAATATATCTTGCATATTGAAAGTATACTTTGCACTACCTTTTGTTTAGATATACACTTTTTACCAGGAGAAAATAAGTATAAACCAGTAATATATATGAATGATTTTTGGAACATGCAACGGGATTATCAACCTTTGAATGACACTGTGGAGCAATTGAACCTCAAATTAACATACCAACCAATTTCGTTATTTAAATGGCAATTATATGCAGCTCAATCTGTTAGAAATAAATGGACGTCTTTCATGGGTTTGTTTTATAATTATGTGTTACATAAGAATTATGTATTAGTATATTGTTATATATTGCTAAACTTTTATTATTGGTTGGTCTCACACACACAGGAGAAGCAACTGATGAAGATGATAACGATCAAGATACTTTAAAGGAAACTTTACTTGAAACGAGTCCATATCTTCTAGGATTGACTATAATTGTGTCGATTTTACATAGCGTGTTTGAAATTTTAGCATTTAAAAACGGTATGTACACACACACACACACACAAACGTGTACCTCTCATGTATGTAAACATGTATCTCTCAAGTGTTTAAAACTTTGTTTTTATGATTTTTAGATATTCAATTCTGGAACAACAGGAAATCACTGGAAGGTCTGTCCGTTCGTTCTGTGTTTTTCAATGTATTCCAATCTCTCGTTGTTCTCCTTTATGTTCTCGATAACGAAACAAATCCAGTAGTGCGCATCAGTTGCGCGATAGGTTTGTGCATCGAGGTGTGGAAGATCAACAAAGTTATAGATATTAATATTAATCGAGAAGTCAAAGTACTCGGGATTTTTCCAAAAATATCATTCCAAGATAAAGGCTCGTATGTGGAGTCTTCTACGAAAGAATACGACAGACTCGCCTTTAAGTATCTCTCATGGGCTCTGTACCCTCTTTTAGGAGGATATGCGGTTTATTCTTTAATGTACTTGGAACATAAGGGATGGTATTCTTGGATTCTTAACATGCTTTACGGATTTTTGTTAACATTTGGATTTATCATGATGACACCGCAGTTATTTATCAATTACAAACTTAAGAGCGTTGCTCATCTTCCATGGCGTATGCTGTCCTATAAATTCCTCAACACGTTTATTGACGATATTTTTGCATTTGTGATAAAGATGCCGACCTTGTACAGGATTGGCTGCTTCCGTGACGATATTGTTTTCTTTATATTTTTGTACCAAAGATGGATATATAAGACCGATCACACCAGAGTGAACGAGTTCGGTTTCTCTGGTGAAATGGAGGCGCAACTAGCGGAAAATAAACAACACCCAGCCATTAAAGATCGTCCAAAGGACGAATTAGTAAAGAAGAATGAATAATACTTGATGTAGGGGTTTAGCATCAAGTATTTTATCCTACATTGTCCTGAATCAATAATTGTGCAATACCAAAGGAATATAAGTTACACACACATATTCACGTTTATTTATACAAATTGCCGTATACTATTATGTGTGTACATGTATATTTTACCGCAATATTTTCGAAATTGCGTGCTGTGTGTGAGCATATTTCGATACATTGCTAAATAAAATAACAAAAGTTTCGTTTTCAGAACAAATTTAGACTTTTTTTTTTTATCTACATCACGAAACGATCGAACAAAATTATGACTATTTGCAAAAAGAAGAATGATCGAATCGAAAGTTCTTAGTAGTAAGAGACTGCTACAAGCTGAACTTCACGAAATAGTAGCGCCTTCATTTAGAACAATATTCGTCATATTCGGGGAAGTGAAGGCTGTGCCCCCCCCCGAACACAGCCCGGTCACTAGACCCACTCCACGTCGCGTCGCGATTTGACGGTCCCCCACTCTTTGCGTCTAGCGTTCAATGTTTGTGTTTGACGCTAGCTAGATCCGATATCGCTGCGAACGTGTCGCCCTGTGCGCTGTTGAAACATGTATTATTGGTCATTATTATCAAATATACTAAATATATACACAATAACAAATAAACATAAATTTAGTATATATTTGATAATGACTAATTATTCAAACCAGCACATATATTCTTTTAAGGCTCCTGGGTACTTCTAGAGTTATATTCGAATTCTGATGTCAGAAGCGAGATATATGAATTTTTGTCTTGTATTGTTTTGTATAAGAAACAGATTGTAATATGCATGATATGTGCTCAATAGCAATTAGACATCACTGTGTAAATATTTTAATTACAAGATCTTTACAACGCCACAATATAAAAAAAAGAAAAAATAGAGAAGCACATAAATCTCGAGAGAGAGATGTGTTGCTACGAAAAATAAAATTAAATTATCATATATTCTTGATGTGTGTCATTTTGTTAAATAATAAATGGATTTCTTCAAATTTTTTTTTTTTTTATTCATATCGCGACATCTTATGAAAGTTTACAACGTATATATCAATATGTATATATTAGTACTTTTTGTTATTCATATAACTTTGAAAGCATCGAATTGAGAGCAACGGCGTCGAGTATGTAACGTCATATTTTGTATTCCGTTATACAATAATTTGTATAACTGAACTACCAACTTACATCTAATTTTGGACAATATACATTTGTTACATATCCATTACCATCTAGATATTCGTTTTTTCTGAATAAAATTTTTAATTTATAGCGTTAGTTTATACATGAGCGTAGTTGTGCAATGTAAATTTCTAACATGGTTTCTTCGACAAATCATTTATGTGCGATAGAAAGAATATATTGTGCAGTATTATTACAGAAAATAAGAATGTTTAAAAAGAAAGTGCAACTCTCATGTACATTGTAAACGTGAGAGGCTACTGCTATTTATTAAACGTGACTATATAAATTATCGTTTACAATAAACAAGTATTCCTCTCCTCACTGCTATTTTACTATTCCTTGCATGAGATGTATGTCGGAGACTTGTAAAATTTTGACGAAAAACAACAATTAATATTCAAAATAAACTTCTATGCGCAAATACGTAAAACAGAGAGAAAAAGAAATAAAAAAATTTTTAAAGTACAATTTAACTTTTAGATTTATCTCTTCTTTATGCTATGAACAGTATAATATCGGGTTTGTCTTTCTTTTTACAAGAAGGCACTTTTCCTTCCGCGCGTAACATGTGTTATCGGTGAAATCTCATATATGCGTACAATACCATCAACCATAAACTTTATAAGATTTCCTTTACACAAGTGATCGAAGGTAAGTTCGATTTATAACTTACAAGTAATATTGGTAACGTTTCCATAAATCACACTAATACACAAAATTCCATTACATATACATACACACACACACACACACAAAGAAAATAACAAAATTAATACTATGATCAGTAATGTAAGTCAACATTCTACGTCAGTTGAATAAAGTGAGCAAGCGAGCGAGCGAGCGAAAGAGAGAGAATGACATCAACAACATATTTTGATTTGAACTTATTACTGAATTGCAAATTATCTCATAGCAGATGTAAAACTTCTAAACAATACTAAAAATATTACTTTTCTAACTGTGTGATGTATAATATAAAACACATTAAAGTTATATATGCTAGCAAATATATTGTTTTTATCATAAATTTTATCATACAAAGTATTCTATATATAACGTTAAAAAAATTATGTGTGTGCGCCAATATTAACATTTCATAAAAAGTATATTTTCAAAAAAAAGATAAAAGTTTTAAACAAGTTAAAAAATATTGAAAAAGTTCCAATAATAAGTTTATTTTAAGTTTAATATCACTTAATATAAATAAAATGACAAATACAAAGCAATAACACAATAATAATACTCTCAAAAGTGTGCCTAATAATAATATAATGTAATTAAGAGAAGATTAAAATATACAAAAATCAAGTGTGTATATATATGTGTATATATATATATATATATATATACAGAGTTTTACTGCACTCACGACTATCGATAAACGTGCTCCTGAGATTTACGTTATGTAAGACAAAAATACGGAGAATTCCCCGTGACTTAAATCCTCATCACTAAAAATTTGCTGACAATTTGCCGGCATTATTCTTTCGTTTTGCTCGCTGGGATCAAAAACACTGGCTAAGTTATCTATGAATGCGACCAAACAAAGGTACGCGCAGGTTTTTATAGCTCTGCTGTGAAAGTTTACATTGTAATTCGATAAATGCGATTTTTCTACGCATTATGTAATAGGCACGGACATTCTTTACCTGTATTTTATACAATGGACAAAAACAAAACTGTATATTAAGAAATATACAGTATATACAGTATAATATGAGTCGCATCATTTTTTTTTCTAAGATTTGTGCTGTGTATATATAAAATGCATGCTAAATTGAGATCGCTATAGCAACTTCATTAAATTCTTTTTCACGAGCGATTTATAAAAATAACATGTGTTACATGTGTTTACATATGTAAATGACACATTCAATTTCAGTTTATTAAAATTAACTTGAGAGAGAAAGAAAAAGACAAAAAAAGAGAAGAAAGAAAAATTTGTTGATGTAAGACAAGTAGCATATATTGGGTAAAAAGTACAAGTTAATTCTTGATTTATAATAATGAATTCTTGATTTATAATGTCGCGTCTAATGTGATACACTGAAAATGAATATTATTGCAATTGATTGTCGTATGTTAAAAGAAAATGGACAATAGGCACAAACGTGCAATTTTTGTTTTAATGAGAAGTATGAAAAAAATCTTATATGCACTAAAATCCCAAGAAAAACACATCTCGGATATTGAAGTTTTAAAAATAACGATGAGAAAAACAGTAGCGCGCTGATCTAAATGTGTGTATGTACAGATTATTTGTAACAATCTCTTAAGATCTGTTTTTTTTTTTTTTTTAGTTTTCCGGTTTTCTTATTGACTTTTAATCTGTGAACACGAACTTTTATCAATTGCTGTATTTACACATTATATATCAATATTTGAGAAGTAATAATTTGATTTTTTTTTACGTTATTTATTGTAACTATTAAAATAGGCAAAATTTTAACCACAAATGTTTAGTCAGGTCAAAATTTCTTTAGCTGAATATTTTAAAAATATTAGCAAGTACGATGGCAAAAAAAGTTCATGTGAAAAGTTATGTGATCGCTGTCCTGACGTCATGAAAATTATATGGCCGACGAGGAGTAGTCGATCCTTAAGCAAAAATAAATAAAGCAAACATGTTGTATTGAAAGTTGCGAGAGTATATATCGCTTTATAAAGGACAAATGTAATTAAAAATGTATTATTATTACTTTAAGTATCTATTATATCTATTGTATAAGGAAATCACCTGATTATTTCCTGGTTAAGTAACGACTTTCTTTCTGGGAGTCGATTGTATATCGCGCAATCTAGTAAAAATCACAAAAGTGACTTCACTGTCGTTTGATTAAGTAATTTTCATCATGGTAAAAATGCGATATTTTTTACGTGAGATTGCTCGATAAGAAAATTTGTCGAATTGTATCTAAGCGAGTTGAAATTCTTGATATATCGAACAGTAATTGTTTCAAGGAGCAATGGATTACATTCTCATGTGTTTAATAAAAAAAAAAAAAAAAATGAAGGCGAAAATGAGACCAATAAAAGCCATCAAAAGATAATTTACTACATAAAGAAAAATAGTAAAAGATATCCCTCCCCAAGACCTATTTGATATCCCAAATAATACATTTATTTATTTTTCGTTCATTTTTGCTATTATATCGTAAACATCTCTAAACAAAATTGAGATTATCTTGCATAAAGCGGTTATTTTTGTTTCTCGATTACGTTCATTATGTTTTTACAATTTTATAAGTTTTTGTTTTACACTTTCTATTTCTGTCCGTAAAAAACAAAGATTATATTTGTGTTTTGTGTATATTATGCATCATTTCTGATTTATTCCTTATTCGCATGCGCAATATTTTATGTTCAGCTCCGGTGAGCATAGGTATATCGCATTTTTACTTTGATTATGAGCCAATCGCGCGTATTTTTTCATGTGAGATAAAAGTGGAATGAGAACATTCGACAGAGATACACAATCGATTCCTTGATTAGGTATCTTACTATTTTAGAAATGAGATGATGTTGTATTATTTTTTTTATGTAATGAAAAACTTTACTACAAATCTTATTCTACATATGAGTAGTTTGTGATAATCAACGGTGCAATCTTTCGGGAAGAATAATAACAATTTTTAATAATAATAATTTTTTGTCGCAGGAAAAGATCTGGTAAACAATTCTAGTGAGTACTTCCTTCTTTGCACATCATCGATTATGTCAAACGTTCGCTTTGTTCTGTATAGAAATATTTTACTATATAAATTTATATATGTACTAAAAACTACACGTTGTTCATACTTTGTGGCTTTCTGAATGTGTTACTTCCTTTAACATTGACTCACGGATGGTACACAGCTGTTAAAAACTTGATATGCATTTAGTTTTTGGTTTATTTAAGCAACTAAACCAGCATCTTTAGCCATACTGTAGAAAGAGCTAGATGGATTGTGAAGTAGCGCCTCTGGAGAATTGTATTCGACAATCAGACCTTTATCTAATACAATTACCCTAAAAAAAAACATTTCCGCATTTATAATATAAAGAGTATAAAATCAGGAATATAAAACATTTTGTGTTCAATCACAGCGAAATTGAAAAGCAATTGGAAAAAGCAATATAATAAAAGCAAAAGAATTCAAGTAAACAATCGAAAAGCAATTGGTTTGTTCTTTTTCACTAGCTGTACCAGTTCAGCAAAAAAAGAGCAAATCAAATGTTGAAACAATAGCTTGAAACGTACCTGTCTGAATCTAGAATAGTGTTGAGTCTATGCGCTATCGTGAGAACCGTACAATCCTTAAATTCTTGGCGAATAGTGGTTTGAATCAAGTCATCCGTTTCCAAGTCAACTGCAGCCGTTGCTTCATCCAGTATGAGAACTTTCGTTTTCCTGAGTAGTGCTCTCGCTAAGCAGATTAATTGTCGCTGTCCGACGCTTAAATTCTCTCCACCTTCGGTAACTTCATGTAAAAGACCATTTGGCAAGTCTACAATTTGATATTAAATGAATTAGAATTTCAAATTTATCAAAAATAATGTGGGAAAAAGATTTCGCTTGTGAAAATATGACGTACTTTTTACAAATGATTTGAGATGAGCGTGCTCAAGCGCTCGCCAGACTTCCTCATCGGAATAAGAATCAAAAGGATCTAAATTCAATCGTAGTGTACCGGAAAACAATACTGGATCCTGCGGAATGATCGTTAATCTCGAGCGCAAATCATGAAGACCCAGTTTCGAGATATCTACATCGTCAATAAGGATTTTCCCGTATGCCGCCTCGATTATTCTAAAGAGCGCTAGCGTCAAAGATGATTTTCCGGCGCCGGTTCTGCCTACTATTCCAATTTTCTCACCGCCGAGAACGCTGAACGTCAAACCATTCAATACAAGATCCAATCCCTCCCTATAGCGAACTTTGAAATCTTTGAAATCGACTCGACCATGCATAGGCCATTCTTTTGGAGGTGTATATTCCGGATTTTTCCACGGTGCTTCTTGTGTGGTTTCTCCATACTCTTTTATTCTTTCTACTGCGACAATATTAGTCTCGACGTCAGATGTCATACGTACCAACCAGTTCAAAGTTTGGGTAATCTGTGGTAATAGATGTAATAAAATTCAAATTTACGATACTTCCATATGAAAAAAATAAAATCTGTTCTAAAAAAAATATTACAATAACATATTTTATGAAAGAGATCAAATAGATTCCTTACTTGTAAGGCATAGCTGACCGATAGACCAACAAGTCCTGGACTCATAGTATCTCTACCTAATACAGCGAACAATGCCGCAAAGAATATAATCAGGTTTCCGACCATCTCCAATCTCACAGCCAGCCATCTGCAATATGTTTAATTTAGTTATACTTATTATAAATGGAGACAAATGTTATAACGTTGTTTCTGTATGTATGTACCTGTTCGCAATAATACTGGGATAATAACACACTTGATTGAAATCTACTCTGTTTTCAGACTCTTGAATAAACTGGTTTTGTACACCGTACGCCCTAATTATTTGAGCGCCTGCATAGATAAATAAAGATTATTCTTAAAATTTTTAGAGAATATAACATATTATTCTTTAGAATTTATCTATTTATTATTACTTTATTATAATAAAAAAAATAATATTGTCAGAATACATGTTCAAAAAATTTTATACATACCGGTCACCGATTCACCAAAATGAGAATATATAGGCGATCTCGATACTGATTCTAATCGTTTTAATTGACGTGATGTTGCGACATAAAAACGTTGAATAAAATAGTAAATTGCGCCTATTGGCGGTATCACCAAGGCAAATTCAGGTGCACTGTAGCTTATAACAACTAGAGTAGCTATGACCTGTAATTTGTACAATTGTCGATGTGAAAGTATATTTTGTTTTTATATGTATATTATTTCCTTTTCTCTTAATATATATATATATATATAAATGTAATACATGTAAGATGTATATACATATAATCGTAAAACATCATTACCGTACTACATAATACATAAATGGATTAGAACAAGAAAAGATGTCTGCATGTAAAATACACATGAATACATGTAATATTTTGACATGTGTACAAGATAACTTTTCGTAAAAAGAAACGATCTGTAATCATGCAAAACCTTATTATGATTAAAGCATTTGTATTTTTCTAAACACTGGAGTTTTTTTGCATAAACAAAGATATACTGATCGTTTATAGGCCCACCAACATGTACCATGAATATGATTATCGTTATGCAGTAGACAAAACTTACATATAAAGCACCAAGATACACTTAAGTTTATTTCAAAGATCGATGTTAAAATATCGTTTATATATGGCGCAAACAGAATCCACTGTTAGGTCTATAAAAACGGACACAATTATACTCAATGGTAGCGCATTTTGAATATACTTTGGCATTTTTTTTCTTTCACGAAAACTACAAATACAAAATTACACAAATAACATTATCCACTTAAATATCAAGTAAACACATCAACGCTACCATCATTTAAACGCCCTCTTATATGTAACAAGCAGGATACGTTTAGATAATATTTGGTGGAAATACGCAAAATTCTTTGCATGGTGAAAAGTGAAGGGATAAGGAAGGAGTATGGAACACGATGAAACGCGAGATGAGTAGAAAATAAATGATTTAGAATCCCAACTCGCTATTCTCTGCGCATTGCGAAAACAATTACCTCGAACAAGCAATAGATGGTATCGGAAATTTGCGGAGGAAGAGATGTATCCAGTACGTCCACGTCTTTAGCAAACCTGGAGATAATACGACCAATAGGGGTCGTATCAAAGAAGGTCAATGGAGCACGCATCACAGCACGCAGCATCATTATGTGCATCTGGCGAGCAGCCAACCAACAGCCCAACTGCGGTGCCAAATCGCAGAAAAAGCTCGTAATCGCTACAACATCAGACATGGATGACTTTCATCGTAACCCACACTTGATACAATTTATCACGATTTGTGGAAAACATCAAGTTGAGATAATAAGGATTAATTAACTAGACCTTAATTTATGAACAAATGTACATAAGAAACATGTTACGCGTAAAACTAATTTTTTTTTTTTTTACACATTTAACACAGTCAAGTTTTTATTTACATACTTTCGGTCTCCTTTTTAATAACAACACATACACATAACACATGTGATTTAATATGTTTGATAAATTACAGAATAAGTCACCCGTGAAAGCGTCAATTATTTTTTATCGTGTTTCTTGATCAAATTGCAATATTGTTCTCTTACGAAGATATAAAAATAAAACCCGATTACGAGCAAAAAAATAATATATTAATTGTTTTAACAGTTTTCCTTTACTGTCACAATCATTAATTAAGCAAAACCGATAGTTCGATTCTAACTGGAGTCCTCCTCAGTCGCAAGATTTCCAAGAAAAATTCGCAATCATTACATTTCCAAATTCTGAGACTGATGATCGCAACAAATTTTTAATAAACAAAAAAAAAACAATACAATTGCAAATGTGATGCTTCTCTCCAATCTATACGTTGGGTTTTGTTTATAAATTTAAACCCATTCTTGTCTCATGTTATGCGAAAATGTGAAGTTTGCTGTGACATATCAGACATAGCCCAGTATTTATTAATCGGATCTTTCATTCAAAGATTATCTTAAATTTATCTTTAGATGCTCTCTTTAACTAATCTTTGTAACTAATAAAAGCTCGTACAATATCTTAAGATAAACTTAAGACAATCTTATTAAATATAAGATCGGACTTTGAATACTGTCTATAAACGAACAAGGAATTACAACAGGAAATAAATCATGTTTTTAACAGGCAGAATCAGAATTAAATCAAATGTTACATATAAGCAAATAGAGAAGCATTATCAAGCACAAGCACAAGACCTTTTCTGTACATGAATATTACTAGTATAATTGTGTCCATTCTTTAAACCATTACCAACACTATAGTTGTACTATAATTATATACAGCAATTACATAGACATTAGTTGTGTGTGTGTATATATGCGTGTGTGTGAAAAATAAAAATATATAAAAAAAATAATATGAGTGAAGTTTGATGAACTAAAAAACATAAGTAAAAAGTAAAAAAATGAAAAAATAATTTAATCTAAACCATTATGATTAAATGACCATGATTCATTAGTTACAGTTTTTTTATTCGTAGCATCTAAAAAAGCACATACATTGATAATAAACGAAAATGAACATCATCAACAGTAGACCATGAAAAGGGCAAAGCATTTGATTTTGCTATACTGTACTTCCAAGAATGACTAAATTTTGAAACATATATCAGTCATTCGATCGATGAATTTTATAATATTGCAATATCTATGTATTTATGTATATATGGTGTGTATATGTGTGTGTATGTGTAAGTAAACAGCACAATTAAACCTAGCAGAACCACATTTATGTTCCATAAATAAAAACAAGTTCATCAGTTTCATACAAGATTTTCCCAACGATGATTTGCTCCAAAAGCAATTTGTTTATTTTGCGCGCCACACTTGGAAAGATGAGTATATCATTAGCAAAGACGTATATTGTATAACGAATTTATAAATTTTTTTTCTTCGACAAAAACTGCAATGCCTTCATGTTCAAAGTTTTATTAGACATATACACGAGTAAAAAAGAGTCAACAGAATATGTATATCATATGTACATATAAAATGACTCCATATCTTTTCAAGTGTATCTTGCACACATCTATAGAATCTTAGTAAAAAAAAAAAAAAAAATAAAATTAAAACATTTTATATAAATGACCTTGAAATTAATATACCGAAAATGATATGGAAAAACATGTAAGTTTATTAATAAAACGCGAATTTGGCAAAACAATAAAACAATAAAAACTGAAATAACCCACATCGTGCAAAATGTCGATAGTTCAAAACACAACAAGAAATCTTAGTAGCAAATATATCGTTCAACAGGTAAGACAACGTAATTGTCACAAAAATAAATGTCCTATGCAATAATGCATACTTATATAAGAATATCATACCGAAAAGAAGCAATTCATCCAAGTACGCAGAATTTGCGGTAGAATATTGTCAATGACATCAATGTCTTTGCCAAGTCGACTAAGAATTCGACCAATCGGAGTTTTGTCAAAGAATGACATTGGATTGCGAAGAACGTGTTGCATCGTACTCTGGAAGATATGCCTAGAGGCAATTACCGTTCCTTTAGCCAAGAATATCGCTCCTGCGAGTACTGTTATGCCTATAACGATCGGTAATCAATTTTGATTTATCATGTAAAATAATAATTACACATTTTTTAGAATACCGTCACCCGCGATTACATCACTGAATACTGTTTTTGAATAAACAAGATAAATTGGCAATGTTCATTTTCATTAGTTGCTCATCACCTGCCTAATGCCAGTCTAATACGCAAGTTCCTCACTGCAGTCACACATGAATTGAGGTTGCACGTGATAAGATACAAATGTAACTTATAATAACTATAAGAATGTGCAAAAATAAAAGTTACTGTGAAATATTGTAATAACAGAAAAAGATTGATTTGTGATATAAAGAGATGATACACTTTATGTATGAAGTTGTATTGTGAAAAACTACGAAGTGTCGCTGAGCATGCAATTATTTAAATGTAGTGAATTAAGTAATTACATTTTCTAATAGTTTTCTATCGATCACACTAATAAATAGTATACCAATAAAAAGTAATAATTGTAAACAAAATGGAAGTGGTTTTAATTCATTGATATTTAAAGTAACCATATTTGTACCGATTGGTGGACCAGTAGTTTCATGCTCAGATTGTGTAAAGATTTTTAAAAACATTTGTGATATATCACAAATATACAGAAAGATTAAAACCAAACTCTCGCATACCGATGCTAGACAAAATAACCAAGCCCTAATAGTAGGAGGTAAAACGTTGTCTATTATGTCAATGTCCTTTCCGAAACGGTTTAATATTCTGCCAGACGGTGTAGTGTCAAAGAATCCTAAAGGCGATCGCAGTATGCCAAATAATAATTCCAAATGCAGCAGTATGCTGCTTCGCACAGAGCCGATAACCAACACTGTCTGTGACAGCATTACAAAAAGAGCTGAAATTTAATGTATAAATAAATACACTTATATTTTTTTATCGGTCACTTTACATTCTTTCATTTATTGATTTTGTTAAAAATCCTGTAAAAAAAAAACATTATTTTTAGACTTTCTGTGTGTTGATTCTGCTAATAATTAATTTGTTAAAATTTGTTAGATACAATTACACACCGATAAGCTCAAATACTGCGTAATAACTGCGTATCGTATAAAGCATGCACCACAGTACACACGTGTGCGATTAGTTTTCAATTAGAAAATAAAGTTTGTTTAATTTATTAATAGCTTAAGAGTAATATGGTTTTTACACAAATTGATTTCCCGTGTTTATTATTAATTTTTTTAAGACTTCTAAATGATAGAAAGCTTTCCTTTACTTTTTTACTTCATGCTTAACATTAGACATAAAAGCAACATAGAAAAATAATTTCTTTCCTATTTTTGTTGTTAGTAAAGTCTAAAGCAATAAAGAAATATTATGATCTACAGTCTAACTGATCTCAAGCAAGAGAGATAAGACACCAGGAAAATTTTTGATGGACTTGGACTATAACATCTTAGAAACACAAAATTACGTGAGAATTTCACCACACAACTACACCACATAACATAAATTGATATTATTACAATTCGTCAATAATTTTCCCGCAATATATATTTTTGTCTACAGTCAATAGACGTATGTATAATTCTTGGTTTTGCACAAAACAATTATTGGATATATAAAAAAACAAACAAATTATCTAAATAAGTGCAAATTTTACCAAATGAAAGGCACTTCAAACAAAGATTTTTTCATGCAAGAATAAAAAAGCGATTAATTGGAGAAAATAATTACTACTATACTTGCAATCAAAAACATGGCTACTGTAAACTTTTAAATTTCGAATTGCCTTTCAAGTTCTTAATATCTTATTAGTATTCTGTAGACACAGCAAACTACACTCATTTTTTTTTTTTTTTTTTTTTTTATTTCTTATACAAAGAAACTATTTTTGAATCACTTTTATACATTTATGTATAATATTCAAAAACAAGTCATAATATGACTGAAAACAAAACAGTATATGTTAGTCATTAAATTAATCATAGCGCTTTTTAAGTGATTAATTTGATTCAATGATTGCGTATATAAGTATGAAAGAACTATGTCAAAAGTTACCCCAATAATGTGTAATCTGTGAGGGAACATGCCTTTTGAAACACTATATGCATATATGACGAGCCAATTAAGTGCCATTGCCTGTTAACGTTGTTTTTAAATAAAGGAATAATTGCCTTTATGCCTTTATTAAAAAATGTGATGTGATTTATACAAATATACATAGAGCAGTAATCGGGGTAAGAGCTTACCTGATACCGAACCATTCTGCTCAGAGAATATTTTAAATAATATTAATCGAATCTACCTGCCAAACGCGGATAGGAATTGTTATAAGGAATAATAAAGGTTTAAGAACGTACCTTGACCCAAACCGAGGGCACCATATACTCCAAGATACATGTCTCGTTTCGCCGTATCAACTGTACTATTCACTACAGTTAGTTTGTCGTCCGACCAAACGCTCAACCATACGCTCGAACCAATGCTGAACGATTGGAAGACTGCGTTCATCACGATCGTCGATATCGATAAAAACCATCCAATGGATTTTAAGTAATGAGAGTACACTTGCCATTTTACCTTTTTTTTTTGGAAAAATAATATATATAACTCTTAGTAAAATCCGAATTGTTTCAGAAAGTATATATTTCTTTTTGTTTATACAAACTTACACTGCCGGTTTCAGTTTTCTCGACTTCTATCAGTTTTTCTCCGACATTGTTTGCTTTAGGTACTTCTTTCTCCTTCATGCTATTGCTGTGCATGTAATTCGCCGACTGTTGACTTTCTGTCGAATATTGCCTACTCGTACAAAACAAATGTCATCATATAAATACCGCTCATCCGGCAAGTGCTCATCCGGGTAATTATGCAGTTATACGGACTATTTTCCGATCTCAACAATTTTGACATATGTTATCAAGGTCACCTCTCTGAATAATAATATGAAGGTTTTATC